AACATTAAAATTTTGGCTAGTCCTTACTTTCATTAACAGGGTATGTCAGACTTGGGTTTACATAAAACATTAGAATTAGAAAGATTGAAATGTGCGCTAATAAGTCCATATTCTTATATAAAAAAGGGTCAAATGACTCTGTGTTTCTGCCCCATTCTTTTCTGCCATCTCAAATACAAACTGCATTGCTCATTATGCTTGCATGGAAACCAATTTTTTCAAAAACTCAGTTTGTTTTCATATCACAAAAACTTTTCTAATCATAGTGTGTGTAAGAAGGAGGTTGTGAGGATGGTTGAGAAACTAGCGCAGGAGACACGTTGATTTTTTCCAATTGATATACGGAGGGTAACTTAATTACCAAATTAACGTAACTTGCACATTTATTGTAGTCTAGATTAGAACATAATATTTTACTTAAAGCGGACATTTGGTAATCTCAGGTTCATATTTGTATTCTGTGCCTCTACTGTGACATGTCTCCATGCTTTAATGTTCAAAAAGGTTACCTGGCCGGCTCTGTTGTGAATGGTCAGCTTACAGATGTCACGTATAATGTGTTGGACATGGCCAATAGAAGCATGGGTGTTACTTTGTGATGTCACTATGTTACAAAAGTCAACAATAGAGGCGTTTTAGGCAGGGGGGGGAGTGGGGGAGAGAGAGAGTGTGGGAGCACAGGGATTTTAGCCTATGCAGACCATTTACATGCACACTACAGGAAAGGAAAAACCCCAGAAGTATAATACGGCCCCTTTAAACTTACCAAGCACTTTAACCACAATTTCAAAACTATAACCAGCATCTGGAAGTCATGCACAATATCGTGCCTGAATGCATTCTGCTTTAACACGTAGGAATAAGGCTGCTGTCAGGATGCTCACTTCTTCCGTTTCACAAGCTGGATAATGTGTATGAGCTCTGCTGCACGCAATAACAAAAAGAGACAATAATCAATCCATGTTTAGGGTAAGGATTTAGCTCCGGAGCTGAGATGGTAGATGCTTTGCTCACCCATTGTTCACACATGAGTCTGTAGCTCCGGGCGTATTTGGGTTGAGCATGCAATTTACATACGCTGCTTAGAATGTGCTCTTATATCTTCATTCCTTTCCTGGGAAATGGGTTTCCACACATTGGCTGCTCATTACAGTACATCATAGCGAACTGACTGCATGCGTGAAGACGAGGTTAGCGAACGGTGAGTGTCCTGGGAATACTCTGAGGGTCCTCACAAGTACAAGCGCACCAAAGTATATACTGTCTGTGTGTGAGGGAAAGTGAGAGAAACGGACGATAAAAAACGCAACAACAATCTTTCAACTTGGTCTCAGAAGCCACAGAGTAATGCCACCAGTGCCAGTCAGTCTCCTTACACTGTCCCCTCAGTGGAGGCTTGAGTTGTCAGATACGGCAGAGAAGACTGTTGATTTAGGGCAGTGTGTGTGTGTGTGTGTGTGTGTGTGTGTGTGTGTGTGTGTGTGTGTGTGTGTGTGTGTGTGTGTGTGTGTGTGTGTGTGTGTGTGTGTGTACTACCCTGTGAGTTGTCTGTGTGCAGAGGCAGCCTGGTACATCTCCCAAACTGGGTCAGGTTACCTGTACAGTGATCGATTGTCTCTCAGCTTCCGACTTTCATAACCAGTGGCAAAATAACTCAATCAAAGAGCACCCCGTGAGCCCGGAGACGCAGTGATATTAATCAAAGGTAGAAGTGTTGCATTGATCTTCGGACAATCAATGCAGTACACATACAACTCAATGCTCTTTGGGCTACACTGCAATGGGCTTACGTTGCGTGAACTCACATGGAATAAAACAGGGAATTTATCTGCTTGCATACATGCACACTTACATGCTCCAAACAGCACATCCAAATATAGTCCTATTGTCACTCTGTGGACTCAGCAGTGCCAAATGAATAGATGTTGGATACATTTGAAGGGTGGCGAGAACACTGAGAGAAGAGGAAGTGGATATAAATGCATGACAGTAACAAATATGGGTTTATTGTTTGTTGTATGTTTTGCCTTTCTCTGTTTGAGCAGGATTATGGAAGGAAACAACGTAATAACTGAAGCAGAAGTACAACCAGGTGTAAGAAATAGGAGCTGCACCATGTATTGCTTGTTCTCTGTCCATCTGCAGTACCTAGATCTCCTGAGTATGTCAACAACTGCCTCCACAGAGACCAGAGAGAGAATGAAATCTTCCAGTGCAATATGCCACCTAAGCCCATGCCAACATTTTGTATTTGAAATCCTTTCAAATATTTATTTGTGTTTGATTGAGCTCTGCGCTCCACCTGGAACAATCTGAACAGTCTCCAAAGGTGAAATCAAAGCCAATCTGGCATCCAATAACAATTCAAAAAAGAAAGTATTTCCTGGTGTAAAGGGAACTGCCTGCCTTTCAAAGTCTAAAATACATACTAAAGCAGGGAAGTATACATTTTTAAATCCGTTTTGACTTTCAATCATGACCCTTTCTTCATCAGAGCACGTTGCAGGGAGCTGAGTTTGTCGTTTAGATTCTGCTGCAGAGATCAGCTGTGCGACCGAATCACAGACGTCCATCCCGCTGAAGTTACGGCCCGGATCGATTCTACGACCCTCCCTGTCTTTCTCTCATTATCTCCTCCTTTCCTCTCTTCCTCCTCCCAATCCCTCCCCTTCGCTCGAGCAGTCCCTTGAGTTCAAATGAAATAGGCTTGAGTTAGCTGTGTATCGCCTGTTTGGAGGCAGACAGGCGTCCCCAGGAGAGACAAGCCTGTGGTGGAAAGATCTTCCTCTGCTTTTATCAACTCATCTCTGAGAGGGGAAAAAATAAGCCAATAAAAGTTTCCTATGCTGCAGTTCTTCAGAGTGCTGTGACTTCTGTGTTAAAAAGTTTTGCCCGGGCTCCTTCTAGGGATTTTCGACGGTGTTTATCACCAAGGTGGCATGAAAACAAACTCTAATCTGTTAAATTAACATGACAAATAGGTTTTAAATTCAATTTGCTTGTGAACACAAGCTTGGTGCAGAGCAAATTAAGAACATAACGTGTTGGTTAGTGCAACATCTCGATACATCAATACGAAGACAGTGTGTCCTGCATAGAAAACTATCCTGTGGTGACATCATGTAACAGATAGAGGACATTGAGACAGACAGAGGACACTTAAGGAATATCTCACAGTGGTCATTGTGGACACCTCAAGGCAGGATAAAAATCACCAATCAAAGCACACTGTCAGCCCGGCACCGACAAATGACATCTCACTTTAATTGAATCGTAGTGACAGTCGCCTGCACCGCAGCGCTTATTCACTGCAGGAGAATGCACCACCTAAACAGCACATTATTTGAGTCACGTTCAAGCTAAAAGTGTGTATGAGTGTGTGGTTTTGTGTGTGTGACTTCTGAATGGCTGTTGGTGCACAAAGCAGCATGTGTCCGCGCTGCACTGAGTGTGTGTGCGGCTCATCGAGCTGTTGACCTCAGCGGGGCATTACGCAGCCACAGATAATGAGCTTTAACGTTCTATTTCATCTTTCTCAATAAGCAGGTGCACAGCAGACACCTGAGGGCCTAAAGGTCATGAACGCAACTCAGCCTGAAAACAGATTACACAATGCAGGCAAGCAGGTAATTATCAAGACAATCATAAATCGTAGAGGAGGCGATAGAGTTTCCCTGGTTGGATTTAGTGTTGGTGGAGAGTGGAGAGGAATTGAGTTTTCGCCATTAACGCTCAGCTTGAAGGCTGCTTACCTCTATAGAAACAGGATAAATGTGAAGCACCATAGATATACTTTTCACGAGGATTTTTTTGTGCATGGCTAGCAAGAGTACTTTGCATTTTATGTGACTATTATTCATTCTTACAGGGGAGCTATTATGCTTTTTGGGATTTCCCTTTCCTGTAGTGTGTTATAGAGGTTTTTGTGCAGGTAAATGGTCTGCTAAGGCTAAAATACCAAATGTCCCTCCATAGGGATCACTATGTAACCCTTGTGCTTCTATTGGCTAGCTCTCCAAAACGTTGTACGGGACATCTCTAACGCAGCGTCCACACGGCGGCGTGCGTTGAAGGTTGCCGGTGGGCGTGTCTGAAACTCGACCAACAACCAATCACATGAATCTCCCGCCCCGGACACACAAGCACGCGGTTTGATTGGCTAGAGCTTGTACTGGCATATGATTTGATTGGCTGGCGCTTCCGCCGAAGCTTCAAAAGTTGAACATTGCTCAACTTTTGAAGCGAGCAAAGCAACGCTCCCACAATGCAGTTCGGCAAAGCGTGACGTCACCCCATTCAAAGTGAATGGGCAGAAGCGTTGAAGCTTCAACCCGCGCCGCCGTGTGGACGGGCCGTAAGAGTTGACCAATCACAACAGAGCCGGCCAGCTAACCAATCAGAGCGGACTGGGCTCTGGTTCCAGACAGAGGGTGAAAAGAGGCAGTATGAGAAAAAAAAGAGCTTTTTGAACATTAAAGCATGGAGACATTTCTCAGTAGAGGAACCAAATACAAATATGAACCTGAAAATGAGCAGAATAGGCCCCTTTAAGCAAATTATCCTGGCGTGTTATCCAAAAGAGAGCAAAACAACAAGTAATTCAAAAGTGGCATACAATGTTTTCAGCCTTGCTTATGCCTGATATTATTTGGGAACATACTATTCACTTTAATGCAAAATAATTATTAAAAAAACCAGGTTGAATCCATTTCAAGTAATCCTCTCTTACGTATTGGTTGTTGTGCCACAAAAACCTTACTAAATGCATTCTAAACTTGTCACAAGACCTGTCTCCATATTGCATTAGCTGCCTAATCATCCGTCCAACTGGGACATAAAAAAGTAACCTAATGTTTCCCCTCTTTATAATTCATACATTACAAGTATTATTTTTAGTGGTGAGCTTTCAGGGGTCTAACACTTGGTCGAACTCCATTAGGCTTACAAATTAGCTTTTAAATGCTTGGAATTATTTAAATTTCCCACATTTTGTTATGCTATTAGACTAATGAACGCAGAGTATCTCCTCCAACAGGCTGGATGTGTAGCCTGTTGACAGCCAGACGCAGCACATGGTACCGCAGGGTATAAAGATCCTGACAGCTGATAGTACGACCGCTGTGTTTCACCTGCTCTCCGCAGCACTAACACAAGGAAACATGTCACGCATGGGTAGCTGTGAATTGAATCCGGCCGCTTGAATCAAATAGAGGCCCCATGCAGCCAACTTGATCCACTAATGTTTTGTTCAGCTTAATTGAGCATTGTCTATTCAACTTAGCCTCACATCTTCATCTAATAGCCACAGTGTCCTGGAAAGTGTAATTACTTCACTGGCAAAGTTACAGCAAAGAAATATGCAACTTTGGCAAGCCATGGAAAGGAGGAAAATGTCTCTCACACACGGATTCAATTTTCTTTTTTTCCATGAATGTTTGTCAGTACTTCTTATAGGTCTTATAAGTCCTCTGCAACTCTTAATACTTTTAAATCCAGACTGAAAACGTATCTTTTTGCCGCTGCATTTGAGTGAGCTGTTCATATCCACACTGCAGTACGGCTTGTATTCATGTATTCGATACCTGTTGTGTTTATTTGATTATCTTTGCTTTTTAATGCCTGTTTTTAAATGCCATTTTATAATGTGTTTCTGCTGTATTTATTCTTAAATGTCTTTTATTTTCATTTGTAAAACACTTTGAATTGCCGTGTGCTGATAGGTGCTATATAGTCCAAATACTGTCGGCGTTAACTTGTTCTAAAAACGGTGACGCGAAGAGTTGATTTCTCGTGTCCGGTGCGGTTTTTGACGCCGTACATGCCGCAGCGAATAACTCATCGACGGAAACTTCACGGCCGCTCGGCTGATAGACCGACGGGAGAGGCAGGTCTTGACCTGTGGGGAGCGAGTCTGCTCTGTACATGGTGGCATTACTGTGCCAATCGAGCACAACGACAAGTTCCTGGGACTGGAACAAGTCCTTTTGTCCGTGAACGGAAACAAACAAAACGCCAGATCTAAAGAAATTAAAAAAGAAAAAAGAAAAAACGATGCACAAAATATTTAATGGAGCTCCCGGCATGGTTTACAGAGCCACCCGGCATATGCGGACCCCCGCGCTCCCAAGCGGGTGGGGCGACGAAATCTAACTTTTATTCCCTCGGTGAGGGGCCTACCGGGGAGCACTTCTCTAGTACGCCACTATTCCACCTAACTCCCCAGATGGAACCAACCACTAACCGATTACCAATGTGTTCGGTTGTTTAGCACAAGTACTATAGTATTTCACCGGTTTTACCGACTAGTCGAGTAAAAGTCTGTCCCAAAAATTCATATTTACCTAGTCCGTGTTTTCTCGACTCTCTAGAAACAAAGGAATTGAAAGTCTCAGAGACTTTACTTGTGTACTGCTTCAATAAACGTGTTGTCCACTGGAAAATTCCCATGTATCATACTCTTAGTGTTCATTTTTCCACGTCAGAATTTGATAAACTTTTCTGTACAGACTGTAGACACTAAAGAGAGAAGAAGAAACTACAGTGGTAAGTCGGTACGAGCGTCGACGGGTTTTTCCAAAGGTTACACGAGCTGCGACACTCTTTGTGACGCTTGGGGACAGACTGCGGCCGGTTTCGTACTGTTCTGGGACTTGTTGTCGACGGTTCTCCGTTGCGAGGCGGAGTAGAGCGGGTGGAGCGTCGTTCCTCCTGTGGTTGTTCCACTTCAGACGTCGGTCTTCGGCGACGGGGTGTTTCGCGACTCCGGTCAGGGACCTCGGCGCCACGGGGGTCTCAGATTCGGTGGCCCGACGAAAAGACGGGGACGGGTCTGCCGCTCCGACGGCGTGCTCGCAGCGTCGGTCTGCATAGCAAGGACTCGACGAGCATGTTTCTATTTCTCTTTCGGGTTGACAGACCTCGTAGCGTCGCAGACGGCGGGTCGCTGAGAGAGACGTCACTATATTTCCGCTTTACAACACCAGCGATGACGGGTACACAGCAAAATAATAGCTCCCACCGTCCCGCTGTAAGTAAACTAACACGTGTACGTACAATTTCTCAAAACAACGACACTTATATCGTTCC